CCCCAAAACCCCAAAACCCCAAAACCCCAAAACCCCTATTTTCTAAAATAAAATTGATAATATAATCAGGAATAATGTCGATAACAGTTTCAAGTCCAGAAGAAATTAATAAAAGTCCATTAAACACATCTCCTTCAAAGCAACTGTATTCATTCCCTAAAACAAAACGCTTCATCATTCCTAACTCCAAAATGAACCAAAATGTCGCTTACAACCTCCCTTCCACAAAATCTCGCAGAAGCGCCAGCTTCGGCTATGGAAAACGCTTCGACTTCACCAAGAACAATGGGAGTCCACCGCCCACTTCATACAACTTCAGCTCGCAGTTCAAGAAGAGTCCAAACGGAAAAGCCTACTCATTCGGAATCGCCAGAGAAGCGTACTCCAAAGTCTTCTTGAAAGGCCACAAAGGCCCGGAAGCAGCCAGAGACATTCCGGGGCCAGGCTCTTACAACAACGAACTCTGGAACACAGTTGGCAAGTCTGGCAAGGCCTACACGCTCAGGCCGAGAACCGGCACGATGGGGATCCGAGTCAGTTCGAAGGGGATTCCTGGGCCTGGGAGCTACGAGTCGAAGAACTCGATAACGCCGAGGGGAGAGCAGTTCTTGTCGAAGTTCAAGTCATCTGGAGCTTCAACGTTCAACCCTCCATCTTCAAGTAGGTTCAATGGGAACAATAATAAATAATCTTCCTGGTCCTGCAGAGTACAATACAAATTTTGGCGTTTCAAACACAGGTGGGCAATTCTTGTCCAAAGTGCCTACTCCAGCTGGAAGGACTTTTTATCACTTTGACAGGAATACCTTGAAAAATCCTTCAACTGCCAGGAATAATCCAGGGCCTGGGTATTACAGGCTTCCATCAGATTTTGGATACTATGAGAGTAAGCACTCTAAGAAATCCGTAAAAGCAAAGGGAAGAAGAAGGTCAGCAGGATCAGCTAGAAAATCTAATCTTTAGTGATCAGCAATCATAATGAAGTAAAATGAAAAATTCAACGTAAATAAAATTAAAAGGGGTTTTGGGGTTTTGGGGTTTTGGGGTTTTGGGG